TGACACAATATTTATTTTCAAATATAACTTTACATAGGAACAATGATGTTTAAAGTATTATTAATGTTGGTTTTTGTGCAAAAATGCATTATATGCGATATGGTAGATGACGTGGCGATAGAATCTACGAAGGAGTTGGATTATACAGTTTTGGCGGGTGAAGCTGAGATACATAAGGGAGACATATTGAACTTTTTGAATCAGTCACATGTGAGGGAACAATACAAGACTTTATATAACAACTTGTTATCGAAGTTAATGGGTGAGCATTGATTGCTAGTACGTTCTATGTAGAACAATCACGCTGCACCGTTGGTTAAGATTGCGAGAAACATTTTCACAAGCTTATGTTTCTTTAGGAAATCATAACAGTGAAGTCTATACTTATCTTATTAAGACTAAAACTATGTCCGTGGAATTGAGATAAGATCCCTATCCAAATTGCCATCATACAACAATTTTATAAAATTCACGTATTAGGTAGTCAAAGTGAGGACAATAATTTCAGTGTAGAAATATCTTAATTTGTTCCAGATGTAACAAAACGAACAGCATCTCGTAGAGGTAACAAACATACTATAATTAAAAAATACGTAATTATTACATATTACAAAATCCAATAGGTAGGAACATTATTTTTTCTGTTTTATTGGTAAAGGCTGCAAGATCGCCCTCCACTTTTAGTAACTGGGTACTCTGTTGATCGGACGGAAGGCTTAATTCGTTCAAAGTAATATTGTAGATCAAATCTTGAAAGTTTTGTGTACCTAATAATATGGAATTGAATTATGATCGTTGCATCATGTCTCTCTGTCACTAAGCCTCTGTGTAATACAACTAATGAAAAATAGATATCTCAGTGCGTTCAGATCTGGCGAGTCCACCCGAATGCGGCACTTCCTCTCCTCTAAGTAACCTCTAAATACTTCTTCAGAAACTACGGTATCATCATAAGTATCAGCCACAAGACGTATGTATACTGCTGAACATAGGTCCAATAACGTTAATAATAGGAATAGCTCAATAGCATGGTATCCTTACAGCGGAGGGGACCCCAGCAGAGCTCGTGGTGCCAGGCTCCACACGACGCATAGTATCTGGCCGCAACACATCTATTGCCGCGGTGCCTTGGCAGGTCTCGCTGCGGGAAAAGACCTACCCTATATGCGGCGGCTCAGTGGTCACTGGTATCTGGTTGCTTACTGCCGCTCATTGTCTGTTAAGGTAACTTTAACTGTGAACACCTTTAATTAGTAGTTTTCTAAATCTAGAGTAAATAATAATATCAATACATAGTATAAAACAAAGTCGCTTTCGCTGTATGTCCGTATGTATGCTTAGATCTTTAAAACTACGCAACGGATTTTGATGCGGTTTTTTTAATAGATAGAGTGATTCTTAAGGAAGGTTTATATGTATAATACATGCATATTGCACCCGTGCGAAGCCGGGGCGGGTCGCTAGTAATAAATAATATGTTTAGGATAAACAGAAAAACTAGAGAACTTATTTTTTAGTTACCAGTGGATAGAGCTGTAGAATAAAACCACAAGTTGAAAACCAGGAATAGGTATAATGAAAAACTGAATTTAGCTCGTGTAGTCGCAATAGATAAAACAGCGTAACTATTCGACCGTAAAGCATACAAGTTGAGACTCACACTAAACTCACGAGAGGGAATAAAGGCAAAAACAATAAACAGCCAACAAAACCAGACAAGTACAGGAGCCCGCGAACTACAAATAAATTCGAGCGGCAGTAGCGCGCACTTTTTATGGCCCGCCCCTAGCGAATTGCGTTCCTTTCGCCAATTTCAATTTATGCCCTACCGTGAGTACCAGCCCTGAGTTTTTTCGATGCAAAATAGCAATCGCCAGAGGGCATGGAACAAAAGCAGCCACACTTTGTTACAGAGGTAGTAGGTCTCGTGGGAGTTTACGATTGCTCTCGAGAAATTTATTGTCACCCACTTGGAAAGCGATACGTTCCTGGCAAAATGTTGGCACATGCTCACTGCTCCAATATCCTTCGTATTAGGACTGAGATGCTTTTCTTCTTATGTCTTTTGCGTAATAGGTTTTTTGTTTTATGTAATGTTATTTAATTGTTTTTTTTTTCTATTATTTTCCATACAGTTACCTAAATCGTTGTTTGCATTTGATCCCCTGTCTTGAAAAAGAATCTTATCTTACGCGTAGTATCAGTAAATGGCCGTCATTCATACAAATGAACCCACCGATAACCACTAACAAATTTAATATCGAACTTAAATGGTTCAACTGCACTTGTCTGTTACATGTATAAACATCACTAATTAGTAAGTAGTGGCCCCCTCACTATAATGTGTTATATAAGGTAGAACACTATTCATTAACGAGGCTGTCTACCTGTCATAGTCTAAGTGTGTGTACACGTCGTGCGCCCTGCACATTATTGTAATAAATCCCAGTATAATAAATCCGTCTACAATTTATTAATCCACCAACGTAACATGGTGTCAGAAGTGGGATTCGAACATTTCGAACCCACGCCCTCATAATATCGAACTTAAATGGTTCAACTGCACTTGTCCAAACATTAATTTTCCACCTCATTAGATATTCACCATAATTCCGATTATCGGTCTTAATTCTGTTAATTCGCTTTCATTGACTAATGAAAAAAGTTCCGACACCGATTTGCTTGGGTATTTCTGTTTCGTAATACCTCATTGTAACTAATTAGAAATTAAACCGGCACGCGACGGTTTCAATAAAATATTTTATTCAAGGTCATAAGTTTTTACAAATGATGCTGTCGCAACTATTTGTTCTCGTTCGATATTATTTATTACAATAAATAACTTCAAAGATAAATGACATAAAAAAAGTTCATGACTCGTTTCGTGTTCTGAAATTTGAATGGACCCATTGTCTGGTATATTGTTTACACTTCTTTAGTAACAGTTTGGTTAGATAAATGTTTACTCAAGTCTTCTGTCAGACTGTGTATTGTTATTTTATTAGATCACATTTCTTTTGTATTCCATTTCTAGCTTCATAATTTAACTAGTAGTATTATTAAGAGTTAGTTATTATTAAGAGAGAACATTTTTTATGGGTTGTATCGACGACACCGTACCTCATCAAACTACCTCAAATCCTCAGTTATCTGACCAACTTCATCGTTTGAAAAACCCGAACAACTTCCTATTGCATCATCTGTACAAAAGACAGGAACGCAGTTTAATGACAATCTTAACACAGAGCACGAGCAAGCGAGCTGAGCGTACGACTTGGCTCATCATGGAAGACTCATGGAGGTGAGATGTATGACGTCAAGGAGTGCTATGTCCACCCTCGGTATGTCAGCAAGACGAAGACCAATGACATCGGGTTAGTGCGCCTGTACTCGCCGCTGCGGTTCTCATCCAGGGTCCTGCCAATACGACTGGTGGCGAGGGAAGCCAGACTACCAGCTGATGAACCGGCTATTGTCAGTGGTTGGGGTAAACTTAAGGCACGTTGCCTCGTTCTGTACTTTATTTTATGGAATAAGGAGATAATAAAGAGTTTTTTAAAGTATTTTTGATTACAGGAAGGTGGTCCAAGCGCGACCTACCTTCAGTCCTCCACAATAAAGACCATAGCTATGAAGCTGTGTCGTCGCTCCGGGCTCGACAGGAAGGCCATTGACCCTGCTTCCATGTTCTGCGCGGGTTCCTTCAGTCAAGCATCACCTGATGCCTGCCAGGTAACATTAAGAAAGAAAAAGCTTTTCACATTGGTTTTTTTTTTTGGAAGATCAAAGCCATCAGGACGGAACTGGATTTCTAGAAATCGAAAATCCTAAAGACATTACTTTCTGTTGTTCTACATAAGAGTTATTACTTGTGCTGTGGACATAACACAAAATTGACTTTCTGTCACACGCAGACCCGGGACAATCATTGCAGGTCATACAGATACATACAGTTATATATGGACATAAAACCCGTAACATACTACGGTGCACTCCCCAAACCACCGCACCAACCGTATTGCAGATTCCAGGTCTATAGTAAGAGTAGAGACAGACCTCTGAGTTTGTTTCGGCATTTCTTCTCAGAGTAGGCAGTTAGAAAATGTCGGCCTCATCGTTCGCTTGATAAAATTGTCGTGTAAAAGTGCTGCCTTGTAGCCTATTTGCAGAAATAAATTCACTTGTTTCACTTGTAAGACACAATAGTCTACTGTCTTCTCAATTCCTTCTTCTATGACAGGGTGACAGTGGAGGTCCCATAGTGTACGAAGGTGTTCTCATCGGAGTGGTGTCCTGGGGACTCGGCTGTGCTCGTGGAAACTTCCCAGGAGTCTACACCCGACTGTCGTACCCGCTCATCTATGACTGGGTGCTTGGCCACATTACGAAGAATATTGAAAACAACACCGTCTTGTGAACTTGATATAAATAAAGTTTTTGAAGTAGTAGCTTAAATAATATTTATCTACATATTTCTTACTTACCTATTGGTTGGTTGTTGTTTAGTACTTGGTATTCCAAGTGCTAAACGAATTACTAGATGGTATAATTTCTAACGTTTCAAACGTTAAAACACATATAAAAAAGTAGATGGCAGCACACGTAACATCTAAGAATGAAAACGACTCTGTAACGACTCCTTTTTAGATAGCAGTATAGCTACTGCTATCTAAAAAAAGAGTCTGTTTAAATACTATCAAAAACATTTGTGTCAATATTTATAGGAACATTATTTACATAAATATATATTTAAAATTAAATGAAGAGTTAAAGTTAATGTAAGCTCCTAAATTAATCGCCTGTGAACTCACATGGGGCATGTTTCAAGAAATTAGATAGTTCAACTTAATAACTTCATTGCTGACAGATTAAATGGATCGGCATTTATGTAATAATAGCTCATGAGTATTAAAATGACTGTTTACAATGTGTCCGATGTGAGCATAAGTTTATAGTTCTAAAAAAGCTTAATCTATATCTGCTTTAAACACGATTTAGGCAATTGTAAAACAGTTTAATAAAAAAGTATATAAAACATAACATCTGTCCCCAATGTGGACAACAATTTGTATATATTTAGCATAATGGGCAAATAACATAAGCCATTCATAAAACGATCAGTTCGAGTGATATTTTCGTAGTATTAGTAAAAAATAAACGAAGTCGAAACTTGGAAAAATACCAAAAAGCGTCAATGATCCAATACACGGCTTAATCGCAGCTACAAAATTACAAAACAACATATTTTCTAGTTCGAAAAACTAACTGGCTGGAAGCCAGAATAACGGTAGCACTAAGTACCAGGGATAGCGTAAGTTCTCCTGGATTCTAAATACATTTATCTATCACAGTGTTGCTAAGTCTAAAAATATACTCTGTGGGTATGTGGAATACGGTTGGTTTTGTATCAGACGCCAGTGTTGTCTCTGATCCAATTTCTGAGGGAAGCGATGTTGGTGAAGACGGTCGGTGACAGCGGTAATGCACATCCTCTTGCGAACGATACGACGCCAAATGCCGTGTCTCGGAACACGGCCGGCCCTCCGGAGTCACCCTGTACGAGTACACGTTACAGATTTACTAAACTGTTTATATTTTAAAATACTAGAATACTTCAAGTTGCTTCCTTTCGTAATTTGTGTTCAAATCTGCACTTGAATAGCGTTAAATACAAAGATTTTGTCTACAAAATAATTTTAGACTGGGCTATTCAAACAAATGTTTTCGTAGACGTGCCCACGTAAGTCCATTAGCACATTAAAATATGAATCTACTTCTCCATTGTGTGTAATATGTGCAATTAACTTTGAATCGTCACTATCCAGCTAAATCAAATATATTTCATGATTTGATTTAAAACTTCATTACCTATTACAAGTAGAGATTGTTTTACCAGTCACTATTCCTCGACTCACCTGACAAGACGACACTCCTCCAATGAGGAAGTGTCCTCCGCAGAACATGTTGTTGGTCAGTGACTGCCCATACGACAGGCGACATAGCCAGTGTGGTACCACGGGGACGTTGGCTTCCATCATGATGCGAGGAATACGACGCCCACCAACCTATACACAAATAAGTTTTAAACGATAAAAGTCAAAGTCTCACATTTCGTTTGTTTGATAGCTAGTTACACAAGGTATATCGTGGATGCTCTCTAATAGGGCATTCGCATTCCATTTGGGGGCCATCCATTCGTCCAAAGAAAATCTATTGAGTGTATAATTATTTGTTACGAAGAACTCAAACTGCCTGCTAACATTTCTATCCATTGTTTTAACCCTTCAAGAGTAAGTCGTGGCTAACTAAGTTACAAGATACAAAAGGAAAAAACAAAATCTTAGAACACAATATTGAAGTAAATCATCTTGTGTATATAAGGTCCAAAGTCCAATAGTAGACTATTAATAGTGAATTGTAAAGAACACTTACAGCTGTTAGACCCCATCCAGTGACAGTTAGCCTCACAAGTGGAACAGGCTGTCGTGGCTGCGGCAGTCTGATGGCTCGAATATTGGCATTGAAATTTAAAGGCCTGGCCAGTCTCAGTGCAGCAATGTCATTGTCGAACTGTGGTCTTCCATATTGAGGATGTACTGTTACGTTTGCCACTCTCACGATCCTGCCTCCCGAGTCACGCCGGGTGCTGCCCACTCGAAGCCGGATGGCGCTCGGGGATGTGCTGCAACGTCCATGGATTGTTATTGGAATCGATAGAAAGGTGAAGTTGAGTAATGCTAATGATTTAAGTTGAGTAAGTAATTGCATGCGTTCTGATCCCTAAAGAGGTACGTGGAGGTCCACGTAAACCTTATATTTGTAATTTTACCTTCCTACTACCTAGTAGTAAGGGACTAAAAAAAAGAAAAACAGTTTATTTCCACAGTTACAAAATAATAAAGAATACGAAAATAAACATAGTGAAGTTTGAGTTCGAGTTTGAACACAGTGACTGCTTACACCATATGTTAGGTATTAATCAGAAATAAATTGCATTTTTTTCAAATACTTACCCAATTATACTTTACCCGACCAAACGAGGGTAGTTAATTTTCTAAATCAGTAAATTAACCTTAATGTTACTGCAATTCAGATTAAGATATTAACAAAAAATAAACACTAGAAACAAAAACTTAATCAACGGATTTGTGAAATGATCAATTATGTTGATTGCAATTTTCAGGTAATTTCTTGTAAGTAAATCGACTGAAACCTAGATTTTACAAATGCTATTGCAACAAAAACTCATTTTAATTAAAATTCGATTCAATGTCGTATGTATGAAATACAAAATTTTCTGGAAAAAGAATATGAAAAATGTTTTATTTACACATTTGAATCAGCTTTTGGCTACACTACTCTGTGAAACATGAAAATGTTAAAACACGAGTCCACAGTCGTTCTGAATAGCTTCACAAACTACTTGGAATCTGATCTGATTGCTCCATAAGGCTCGTTGAACCATGCTCTCCATCAAACCAAAAATGTACCCTTCAGCTCTACGAATATCCATCGGACGAGCAGTACGAGCACTGCATCGTAAACTCGTGAAAACCCACTCAACCAAAACATTCGCAGTGGAGAGCGAAGGGCACTTCAACTGACGTAACAGTGTACTTCATAAAATATTCACGCAGAGAAAAACCAGCTGCCGAGCCCCGCAGTAACGACCACGATTATACACTAACATTGTTCGTTCTGTGCCATTGTTATTTCGTATAGAAACATTCTAATATTACCCCCAACTAAAACCTTCACAAATATAATAAAAGCTCATAAATAATGACGAGTAACTCATCAGTAATAAGGAACCTTCAAACAATGCTAATATTATGGACAGTGCAGATTAACGCCTAGGATTTCTCTGGCACGCCTCGCACTATGGAAATGAAATGTCCGTCGTTCGTCTAAATATTTCTCTGGAATAAATAATTTTCCACGCTCTATGTATTCCAGTAAACCCTTGAAGTGATAAGCAACAATGTTAAAGAAGACCGTAAACCCTAAGTCCTGCTCCTCTGGTCACAGTTTTATTATTACCAAAGTCGTAAAGTTAAGAAACGTTACGAGCCCGGCCTTGACACCGGAGATCCCGAAACGGTACAGCCTCCTAACAATATCTTCGAATTTACTGCGCCTAGTAAAAAGTATAACTATTTTTATGATTACTGATAAAATGGAACGTCAACAAAGCCCCATTTATGGTCGTATTAACTCGCTTTGATTTTTCCTGGCAACATAATTTTATTGCATAGCTAGTTACAATGAAGCTTATGGGCTTCTAGTTTGTTCATGAGTCAGTAATTACCTTGAGAAATAGGGAAAATTTATATTAGTTTGTTCATTCTTATTATTTTTATCTTTATTGCAAGGCTGTACTTAAATAATATCAATACCAATATGCTTCTTTGATCCCATAATAGTAAGACTAATTGCTGAACAATAAAGGAACTGAAAACTCACTAGAGAAAGTTTTCGTATGAAAAACTTGACTCACTTTTGTACACAATGAGCAGCAGTCAGCACGTAGTCCTGACTGATGATGAAGCCACCGCAGAAGGAGTTTCCATTCAGCACCATTGACACTTGGTAAGGGTGTCGTTGTATTGAGGTTGCCCTTCCTCCAATGATCTGGCCACTCAGCTCAGGACATGCTTCCTCCAGCTCCACATCCAACTCTTGTTCACTCTCCTCGGTGTTCTGAGCATCATCTGCAGTGGTGTCGGTGGCGGCGTCCGCGCAACATTCTGTGTCAACTGCCTCTTGGAGATCTAGGAATTATTTGTTGTATTATTTACTTCTTACAAGTTATTTAGAATATTATTTAAAACTTTTCAATGTCGGAACCATAGATCAGAGTTCTTCAATTTTCAGGGTGTTTAAACGAGTACCTAATATATGCTGTAAACTCACTATTTCATTATGACCGTAGACAAACTACAGAAGTCGATCTTAATACCTCACCCTTCAACAAAAACAAGTGCAAAGCTATGTTTAGTTAAATAACTTTACTAGGCACATAGCTAACTAACATAATCAAACACAAAGTGAAAATTTAAACTAATCACAAAAAAATATTATAAGTATGTGCATTTATTACAACACAATAGAACAAGGCTGTAAATACGTCACTTCAACTCACCCGCGACGGAGACCAGGGTAAGCAGCAACAGTACACCGGTCAGAGCAACCATGTTGGCTACCAAACTCCACCTGCCTCAAGCACAGACCTAGCCAAACTGTTCCAATTCAAATTATTGCCAAATGTCTGCCACAGGTAATTTCACACGGTTCGAGTCCACGGTCGCGACCTTTTCACCGTCTTCCAATAATTCACCGAGTCAACTCGAGTCAAGGTATTGTTCGCTATGAAAAAGCATTCAGTGATTCAGCAGACGCGGTAACTTGATATAATATGCGTAACGCCGTCTATACTTGCAGTCCTTTAACAAGGCCAAATATTGTTCAGTAGTTATCGACTTTTTTCGTTTATTCTTTTTTTTAAGGAGGGAAAATCATCGAATGACTGCTCTCGCCTGGGTGAGGCGGGAGGGAGTGTCAGACTCTTACTGACTAAAAACCACCCCGTTCCTTCTCCTGCACGTCGAGCCGGAGCCTCGGTTACCCGTTAGGTTCTCCGCAACTTTTTAGTAGTTTAAGAGGTCATTAAAACTGCGAAATGCCTAGTATCGTGTATTAACAAGAAATATAATAATGAAACAATCCCACTTTTTGTTTCCAGTTTCATAATTATTTATTTTTTATGGCATAAGCCGGTAAACGACCAGACGGATCACCTGATGGTAAGCAATCGGTGTCGCCCATGGACACCTGGAACACCAGAGGCGTTACAAGTGCGTTACCGGTTTTTGGGGATTAGGAGTTTGAGGATCGTTGGGGATTCAGGGATTGGGGAGATTGGGGAAGGGGAGGGTAATTGGGCCTCCGGTAACCTCACTCACACGACGAAACACAACGCAAGCATTGCTTCACGTCAGTTTTCTGTGAGGCCGTGGTATCACGCCGGTCGAGCTGGCCCATTAGTGCCGAAGCATGGCTTTCCCACACTTAAAATTTATGTCAGTAACCATCTTTAGATAATAATAATTGAGTAGGTATTTAAAAACAAGTTTGACCAAATGTTATAGGCCATTACATACTTGTAACAGCACAAAAAACAAATGAAAACTAAGATTTCAAGGAATAACAGATGATTGAAAGAACTGTTTGACGTACAATCATATTTTGATCTATGATGACAGCCTCGCCCACTATAACAACTCCGACTCCTACCACATCGTATTTTATCTTTCAACTGTTAATTACTTTATTAAAGATCTTTTTGTAAATCAAAAACACAGAATCTTGTTAAAATATTTCCGTACGAATATAAGAACCATGTTGTACAGCAACCATTAAAACATTGGAAACTGTCGGCTCATCGCACGAGTCGTTTATTTTTGAAACACTAGCTTTTGCACACGACTTCGTTTGGATGCTTCACAAAAATTGACATGTGTTTTGACAATATCTCTTCGACCGGTTCGTCTGTGGTGAAAAACTCGGTGTTTTTATACTTTGTTTTCAATGTCTAAAAAGTTTTATGTACATATACGAGTACTTACTTTCGTATGTGCATCTCTTACTTTAACTTGTTCGTGTTGTTTCGTTGTTTTTATTTGGTTGTGACTTGTTATCTTTGACTGTACTAGAGATGTATACAGGATACAAATACTTTTAATACTATCAAAATTACTCTACATAAATATAATCAACCTATACGTACTTAGTTTTAGCCCATGGACACCTGGAACACCAGAGGTGTTACAAGTGCGTAACCGGCCTTTTGGGGATTAGAAGTTTGAGGATCGTTGGGGATTCAGGGATTGAGGAGATTGGGGAAGGGGAGGGTAATTGGGCCTCCGGTAATCTCACTCACACGACGAAACACAACGCAAGCATTCCTTCACGGCGGATTTCTGTGAGGCCGTGGTATCACTCCGGTCGAGCCGGCCCATTCGTGCCGAAGCATGGCTCTCCCACACTTCCCTAAATTTGTTCATACAAAAGTAGTCTCTAAACATTGTAAATAAGGTCTATAATGTAGTTAGTGGAGAGCGGTCACCGGTGACCGCTTGGGGATATACGGGTAGCTTATATCTTTTTT